ATAAATTTAGAATAAGAATCTTTAATTAGGTTAAATCGTTGTGTAAATTTAATCAAGAAAGTGTTAATTAAAAATAGGAAATTTGAATGCAGATTGATCATATGTGGTTCAAAAACATTATGACCAATGTAAACTGGGTTACTCTTTAACACTTACTTTCACTAAGTATCACTAAATTTCACAAAATTTCAAGCAACTACTTGATATAAATTGCCTTATTCAATCACATTTCCCTGTTTTGAAAATTTTAAATATTTGAATAAGTCTATTAAATTATGTTAAATCAAACTGAATATGTGGTTCAAAAAACATTATGACCAATGTAAAATGGTTTACTCTTTAACACTTACTTTCACTAAGTATCACTAAATATAAAATTTCAAGCAACTACTTCATATAATTTGCCTTATTCAATCACATTTCCCCGTTTTGAAAATTTTAAATATTTGAATAAGTATTAAATTGTGTTAAATTAAACTGAATTTCTCATCACATTTTCCTGGTTTGAAAATTTTAAATATTTGAATAAGTTTATTAAATTGTGTTAAACTAGACTGAATGTTTCATCTATCTCATAAATTAGATTATGAATTATTAAAATTAAGCCAAACTGTTGTGTAACTTTTAATAAATTGATGACTAATAATGATACAATTTAGGATGCTGTATGGTTTTAATTAACACAATGGATTCATTTTAATATAACGCCTACATAGACTTTTATACAACTGAGGAATTTAAATAATAAATGTTGCTTTTGCTCAACCTTATCTTCCAATATAATCTCCGGAGGAAATGAACGGAGGAAATGAATATCGAGTGCACTCTTATCTTAAAATAGAAAATTCTAAACTTAATAAGGAAATGCTTATCTAGGTTAAAATATTATATCTGAAAATAGATAAATTTAAACGTAACGTAGGAATGTAAATAGTTTTATTCTTCCTTTTCCTTCAATTTAAATCATTTATTTTTGTGGCCATTTCTATAAATGTTCACAAAATAAATCACCCTTATCTTATTTTGTTTCATTCGCATGACTTTTGCGCACAAATAAATATAAAATAATATTTAAGAATATATCTATAAACAAACATAAAATAATTCTAGAAAATGTAAATGAATAGTGAATAATTCATATCACTTTTTATCTCCTGATAAGACTTTTAGGCAAGTCATTTTTTTAACTTTTTAATTAAATTTATATTATTTTAATTATCCTACCTATTTTTAAGGCTATCCATTTTGTCAGGCTGCATACTTTTATCTTTTATGAATATTTTATCTAACTAACTGAAAAATACACAAAGTACATTTTTAATATTTAACTAAATTAATATAACAATTTTTAAGGATCCTACTTTTTTAAAAGGTTACCATTTTGTCGGATCCACCATTGCTCTATTATCCCTGCTGATTATTTTGTATAACGCACAAAAAAATATACATAGTACATTATTTTTATTATAAATAATTTGATACATGATTTTATATCTATTCCAAAAAATCGATTATTTTTTTTATAATTTAAATATATTTATATTATTTTAAGCATCCTACGTATTTTTAAGGCTATCCATTTTGCCGGGCCACACAATATGCCCTTTTATTTCTGATGAATATTTTGTCTAACTAACTGAAAAATATACAAAGTACATTTTTAATATTTAACTAAATTAATACAATTTTTAAGGATCCTACTTTTTTAAGAGCTTACCATTTTGTCGGATCCACCATTGCTCTATTATCCCTGCTGAATATTTTGTGTAATTCTCAAAAAAATATACATAGTACATTATTTTTATTATAAATAATTTTATATAGGATTTGTTATCTATTCCAAAAAATCAATATATATTACAATATTTATTTTTATTCAATTAAATTAAATATTTATTCTTAAGGATCCTACCTTTTTCAACAATACTCCTTTTTATTCTTTCAATAAAAAATACTAAACGGAGTTTTCTATTTTTAGGATTTTATATTTATTCCAAAAAAAATACATATTACGGTATTTATATATTATTTAAACTATTCTATACCTATTCACAAGGATCCTATTTTTTTTAAGTTTGCCAATTGGTCTCTCCGAATGGTATTTTATTTTAATCCTACCTTATAAAAAATTAACTTGAGAATTTTTTTTTTACTTTAGAAAACTATCTCCATCTTATTTCCTCTTTATAATTGTTCAAATATTGATATATCAGCCATTAATAATGAACAAATGCAAAATAAACCTTTAGAATATCATAATAGGCTTGATAAGTCCCCCAAAAATATTTTTTGATGATAGCCCTCCAACTTTTAGAAATATGCATCTAATATTGACCCATCTACTGGTTTACATTATTTTAATGTTTGTTAATTTCAACAATAGTTTATTTATATTTTTGCCTGATTTCTTTATTTGTCTAGGCTTAATCCCTCACATTGCTACAAAACATGATGAATCTATTATTAAAGATAAGCAAAGAAAATAATGACGATTAAACAAACGCCTTACCCGTTCTAGAGTTACTGGTAGACAAAATAATAAAGAACTACGCTTGAAATGAACTCACCTGGAGGTTTATTTTATTTTTTTTATCTTATGTTTTATATCTATGTTTATTTTATTTTCACCCACTCCAAATGATATCTCTATCACCACTAGCACAATCTCTATGCCACCTCCGCCTATTTTTTAACAAATATTAGCATTTAATTCCGTACTATCATTCACTTCACTAGGAGTTAATATAAATATTACTTTATCCGATTCTCTAAGAAACTTTCATGAATATTTAGAGGAATGTTCAAACTTGAATGTACAGTACTGCCAATTTCATCAACTTTGTGGATAGAATGCGAATAATATGCTGGAATGTGGGTACGTTGACGGGAAAGAGCTTCGAGGTCTCACAAATGTTAAAAAGAAGAAAGGTACACATCGCCTGCCTACAAAAGACGAGGTGGAATGGAACTAAAGCTCGGGAGTTAGGAGAGGGATACAAGTTATTCTACAGTGGGTCATCTAATCGTAGAAACGGGGTCGGTATCGTTCTAAGAGAATCGTTCAAGGACAAGGTAGTGGAAGTCAAACGATGTTCAGACAGGTTAATGTGGGTGAAGTTTGCAGATCAAGGAAGCCTCCTATTATGTGCGCGTATGCTTCTCAAATTGGATGTATGGAATCAGAGAAAAATATATTCTTCGATTCATTGGAAAAAGAGATACAAGGAATGCGATAGAAAGAAAAGCTAATTATTGGGGCGGATTTCAATGCCCACGTAGGAAAAGATCGTCTCGGGTATGAACGAAATCATGGATTATGGACATAGTCTGAAGATCAAGGAAGGAGAAAAACTTCTCCAAGTATCCCAAGCTTATGACATGGCGATCGTTAACACTTATTTTCAAAAGCGTGAAGATCTTATTGTGACTTATAGAAGTGGAAAGCATTTTAGTTAAATTGACTATCTGCTTATACGGCGAAAGGATTTATGGAGGATCAAATGCAAAGTAATACCGGGAGAAGAAATCGCCCAACATCGCCCACTTGTCATGGATCTTGAAAGAAAAGGATTTCCGAAAAGAAGAAAGGTTTATGAACCGCGAATTAAGTATGAAATGCTCAAGGGCATGCCGACAAGCGATAAATACCATCAGAAAGCTTCCACACTCTTGGATGCCAGGAAGTTAGAACGAAACTTAGACGACGATTGGGAAACGCTAACTGCAGACATAAAGGAAACGGCGATTCAGATTCTAGGACAGACCAAAGGAGGCAAAGCTTTGAATAGGGAACTATGGTGGTGGGATCAATCGGTTAGGGATTTCATCGAAAGAAAGAGAATTCTATATAGACAGTGGCATAGATCCAAAAAGTCGGAGGACTATCAAGAATATAGGGAGGCAAAGAGAGCTGCGAAGAAGGCCATAATAGCGAAGAATGCCGCGTACACCGAGATGGCAAACAAACTAGATCATAAATGGGGCGACAGGCTTATATAAAATTGGCCAAGATAATGGAGAAGAAAAGTCGCGATGTCGGAGTCCTTAAAATAGTCAAAAATGAGGAGGGTCAAACCTTATTAAAGCCGAAGGAGGTGATGGAAAGATGGAAAGGATATTTTAAGGAACTTATGAATATTGCTAATGACAAAGATTTCCTTCCCGATATTGAGCCAAACATAAGTATGGTCGAACACTTTCAGGAGGATGAAGTTAGGACGCAAATGAACAAGATGCAAAAAGGAAAAGCCAATGGCCCAGATGGAATTCCTATGGAAGCATGGGTTGGATGCCGAGAAGAAGGAGTCACGACCATGACGAACCTCTTTAAAAAGATATTGGGAGAAGAACAAATTCCTAATCAATGGAGAGCAAGCACGATTATACCCTTATTCAAAGGCAAATGAGACCCTCAGGAGTGTGGTAATTACAGAGGTATCAAGCTAACTTGCCACTCCTTGAAACTTATGAAAATGATCTTAGTAACAAGGCTGAAGAACGAGGTGGAAATATCGGCTAACCAATTCAGATTTGTGGCTGGCAAATCCACAATCGATCCGATCTTCGCACTAAGATATGATGGATAAATATGGAGAAAAGAAACCTACATATGGTCTTTATTGACTTGGATAAAGCTTATGACAATGTCCCTCGCGATTTAATACGGTGGTGCTTGAGAAAACAAAATATCCCTGACGCATATGTACGGCTTATGAAAAATACTTATGAAGCCTCAACTTCTTGCGTTAGAACGACAGTTGGAGACTCTAAACCTTTTCGGGTTGAAATTGGATTACATCAAGGATCTGCTTTAAGTCCTTTTTTATTCAATATAATTATGGACACGATAACGAGAGGCATCCAAAAGCCATCTCCTTGGTGATGCCGATGATATAGTACTATGCGAAGAGACAAAGGAGAAAGTATTCGAAGAAGCCGAAAAGTAGTCAAAACGCTTAGCTGGATATGGTTTAAAAGTCAACAATCGAAAAACGGTATATATGGAGATGAACGTTACAGGCACCCCATCGCTGGATGACCAATTAAAGTACCCAAAAGTAGACAGGTTTACATACCTAGGCTCGATGCTTCATCAAGAGGGAGGTTGCGCAAATGAAGTCAATGCACGGATCCAAAAAGGATGGCTTAAATGGCGAAGTATAACCGGTGTAATGTGCGACAAGAAGATGCCAATATGGTTGAAAAGCAAAGCTTACAAATCCATCGTAAGACCGGTGTTACTCTATGGAAGTGAAACATGGGCATTAGACGCTACGGAAGAAACGTTATTACAAGCCACGGAGATGAGAATGATACGGTGGAGCTTGGAGTATACTAAACTCAACCATATGACGAATGACTGTCTCAGAGCAAAAATGGGTATTCAACCTATGGCGGACTTGATAAACGAAAATCGGTTAAAGTGGTATGGTCATATACTAAGAAGGGAGACGAGTGATGTAAATCGAAAAGTATTGAACATGGAGGTGCCGGGGAAGAGAGGAAGAGGACGACCTCGTGTTACGTGGAAAGGTCAAGTAGACAAAGTTATGATGACTAAGAAGATAAATCCGAACATGGCCCTTACTCGATCAAGATGGAAGAAACTTATCAAAACAAACCCCACGACTGTGGGACCATATGCATGATAAAGAAGACTTAAAACAGTTTTATGGTTGAGTTAACATTGTCATTCATGATTCTATTTTAGAGGCCATATTTTTTTTCCATATTAGACTAATTGGTAAATCAGATATTTCCCGTTCATGTGATGATATTAAAAATTTAACTATCTCCGAGGCGGGAAAAAATTTTCAAAATTATAATGGGTAGGACTGGGCTTGGGACCTCAAAATTAATATTAGCTTGCACCTGACTTGGGAATATCTTTTACAAATTATTAAGGGTTGAGCTGGGCTCGATAAACTTTTTTAAAATTATAAGATCTTGGATGCTTTCTAATATTGTGAGCTTGAACCTGGCATGATATCTATCGCAAAAAATGAATAAAAATCTCATTCCCCGTCATTTTTGACCGGCTTTCTACTAGTTTTTAATAAGTATTATAATATTTTTACTTGTTATATAATTTCTAGCATTGTCGGTAATGTATTTGGTCAATTTATTTTATATTATGTATGTGGTAAAATTTCAAGTGATTTGTTAGATAATCAAATGTGTGTTCTTGGTTTACCCTTTTACAATTTAACAGGCTGAAGCCCTCTCAAGAATGTCTGGGTGTAACCAGTTTAATCGTCATCCAGAAATAAGAACTTTTTTAAAAGACACATCAATCTATAAAATATATATTTTATGCCATAATATTAATAAATGCAGTGCTTTCTACAATTAAAAATGGTTGTAATTCTTCAATTACAAAATTAAAAACTAATTCATCAACAGCTGATATTACTATTTTTATCTTTGATGTAGATGGATTCTGCATCTCAATGAGTGTGAGTTGATTATCTTCAATTTTTTTTATTACTATATAAATGTTCATTAATCTCATCCATTTTTGAAGAATGTACAGTCTATAATTTTTTAATTAAAATATTATTATTTCCTGAATTTTTTATTAAAAATAACTTACCTTTTTCAATAATTGAAGATAGATCTTTTAACAATTTAATTAAATTTTTTAATCCCTCACTAAGCTTATTGTCAAGTAAAACATTAAAAAATTGAAATTATAATTGCCACAGATTTTTCAATTTCTTATCTTTTTAGAATTATCATTTAAAAAGGAACCAGGAAAAATATCTAGGTTCTATTCTCTAAAACACTATTGCTTCATAGTTTTATTCCATATAAATATTTATTTAAAATATATATTTATACAAAGATTTTTAAAATCACTATTTTATTCTTTAAATTTATTAACAATTTGAAGTCAAACCAATAACAATACTAAAACAAGAAATAGAAGATATTGTTTAAACCCAATATAATATTTTGAACCAATACCATTATTTTGTTAATCTTGGGTTTATACTGTTGGTTCCCAGCCCTATACTATAGTATAATTTATTTTGTTATATTATTATTTCATGACTAAGCTTTTCTAAATATTATGAAAGATACATCCTTTAATGGTTATTTTATAATAGCCATGATTTAATATTCTATTATTAAAGTAATGTTTAAAATAATAATATATTCATTCATCTTTTACCTTCATATTTTTCTAAGTTTGAACTGCTGGGCATTGAGGTTAAAATATTTGCGTTGGGATATATTTTACATTTACAAAGTGTAGACTTTGTACCCTTAGTTTTTTTTATTGGTGTAAAATATGTTACAAATTTGGGCCAGGGAAGGGTTAAATCATCTTCATTTGAAAAAGTAAGTACTATGAACATTATATTCTTAAAATAAATTATAAAATAGAATAATAATATTATTATTAACAATTACTCTGAATTTTGATTGAATATTAACTAGATTAACATTCGACTGAAAATTTAACAACGAAAATTTAAAATAAAAATGAAGGAATGGTGGTTGAAATGAATTAAAAACTCGGCTTAAATTATTTATATTAAAAAATAAATAAAAGTAATTATAATACAATAAAATAGATTTATCTTTTTTAAATATTTTTAAGAAAAAATTTAAGGCAACGTAACGATTTGCGTTACCGTTAGTCAAAAAAATGAACCGTGTTACCGTTACCCGTTACCTCTAGAAGAAGGTAACGAATGGCGTTTTTTTTCTTCAAAAATGGTTAAGAAGTTAGCAACGACATTACTTTTTGACGTTACTTTGCAGTATGTTAAAAGTTACCTTTGAAACGTAACTAGTTGCATTCCTAAAAGGGTAGCTAGTTACATTTTTTAATTAACTAGTTACAGTTATATTTCAAAAGTAAGTAGTTACTTTATAAAAAAATTTAGGATTTACAAATTTTAATAGACATTTAAGAAAATATACAATTTATTTATAGAAATAATAATTACACTGAAAAAAATATCGGAGGACAGAATATATTCATGAAATAAAATATATATTTTGCTCTGATTATTTTTTATAAAAAATCGGACTTAATAAATTTTTTTTATGTGCCTTCATAAATTATTTCCTTCTGTCGAAAAGACGCGCCTCTTTCTCCAAAAATAACTTGATTGAATAAACTTTCTGCGGGAATTGATGCAATTATTATTTAAGATAATGTGTTATTATTGGATTGTATAAAATTTTCTATACGTTCAATATCAATAATAAAATTTTACAATTTTAAGTCAAAAAAATGAATATGATCCAATGATGTTGATTTCGGGGATGATTCAATTGTCTCAGGGTCACTTTGGAGCCTGAGTGTTTTTTTTAATATTATTTTTATCATTTCCAATTTGTTGCTAAATTTCTTTTCTTTCTTATCCACGGCCAATCAGTTTTAGATAACGGATAAAGATTTTCAGTAATAATGTTATTATTTTAAAGATTATGAAACTTATAGGAGCATTATATTATTAATTTATAAATAAAATTATATAATTTAATTTATATACCCTTTTATAATTCTAGTTGGGTATCAAATAGATTCTAATTAAAATATCTTTTGACCAAAGTTATAATACTCACTCTAGGTCTTAATGGGTTGAGTCCGGGAGGGGGGGGGTATTATCAAATACAAAGTAATTAAAACATCTTTTGGTGATAATATAATAGTTTTAACATAAATATAATATGGTTATCAAATAGTAAATAAAATGTATTTTGTCTATAATGTTTTTTAACATATTAAGTAGGCAGGTCTAGATCTTAGGAGGAATGTGTAAAAATGCTTCTATAATATAAAAATTGAATATGGGTATCGAAAACTTGGGAAGTCGGCTATGAACCTATCATTATATTCTATAAGTTTATTATTCACATTAACCATTTCATGATTTATAAAAAAAATAAGGTCCGTCAAGATTAGTTATGTTACCATGAAGAATTAACACAGAATTATTATTAATTCTCTTTTTTATATGAAGAATTAACATAGAATTATTATTAATTCTCTTTTTTATATTATTCCAATATTCATATTAAAATAAGTCACATTTTCCTTTTATTTTATTATTACAAATTACAAATTACATTTTATTTTCTTTAACCAAAAACAATTTTCCTTTTATATCTTTTTTTAACAATAAATAAATCATCAAATAACCAATTATGTAAAATGAAAATGTTCGTTTAAAATTGATATCGAAAAAATATATCAATTGTCAAAATAAATTGATTTTAAAATAATGTTAATATGATAAAATAAAACGTTGATATAAAATAATCTCGATCACTTATTTAACAGACCAAAAAATTGGTTTTCACCTAAAATTATTGATAGATCGTAATTTAATGTATTTATGGTTGTGGATGGCCTTCACAATATTATATTAATTTGATTAAAAGCAATTATTTGTGCACTTATTCATAATCAGTCATCAAAATAAAAATAAATTTTATATTCACACGTCATAAGAGGCTTATTTCTTATTTATCAATCATCAAATAAAAGGGAAAATTCTGATTCATCCATCATCAAATTATGGATAAAATTCTGATTCCCCGTCATTCTTGATGGGGTATCAGCTGAGATTTTATAAACATCTTAATTCTTTTTATATGTTAATTATAATTATGTTGCTTGCTTCATAATATAAGCTACATAATTATAATTTAAGTATATTAAGACAAAGCCTCATTGCACTCATCATTTTATTTTGCAACTGGGTTATATTTTTTAGAGACTTTAAACACTAATAAATGAATGTGGCATCTTTAAAAGTTTTAATGTATTATAACGGAATTGCAGTTTCTTCCTTTTCAACACTATGGTTAATAGACAAAGTCATATAAGGTCCTTAAACATATGGTAGGAAGACTGAGGTTTATAGATATTTTGTTATTTGAGAAAAATTTCTCTTACAATTTATATGAACTTATTAAATTAACTGTATGTTAGGCTCATCTTTAAGTTTAGGATTTGGTAAAAGTAATTTTTTTCTATTATATCACATACCCCGGATAAGATAGCAATCCACCCAGGAAAAAAGGTAAACACCTATAATTCTACCCTTTAGCTAAATATTTTAAATTTAATCAAAAAAAGTATTTTAAATTTAATTCATAATTTCACACCTTTTAGAAAAATATATTTAAATAAATAGTTAAAGCATCATTACTAATTTACTAAAATTATTTTTTAGATTAAATCATCATACATGCCTAGGAGACATGAAAAAATATTAAGGGTTCTTTAATTAGGTGTTTTTTTTAAAATAGTTTAAACATTATATTAAAATTTATTCTTTAAATTTGCCCATTTACCGATCCAATTCTTAGACTCAAGTGAATTAGGTGTACAACTAGCGATTAGTTGAGATTAGAACCACGGATCAAGTTTAATTAATTGTAGATATTAGATACTTCATATTTTTTTTTGTTAATATATCACTTTTACCTTAAACAAGAAATATTATTTTTCTAAAGTTTAAAATTGGCAATATTCGCTACCAACCCTTATCAAGAAATATAGGGTTAGAATTTAATTTTTAATTGGAAAAGATGGTTAAATCTTGGTTACTTACATAACCAAGTGTATAGTCAAAACTTTATAGAAACCATACATGCAGCATGCTTAAAATCTATTTAAATG